GCCGCGAATCCAGGAGGACCCCCAGATTGCGCACCCTCTCCGAGGGGGCCAGAATTTCGCCCCCTATAGTCAGCGATGGAGTCAGCTGACTATGCCGCGGCGCCGGCAGCCACAGCCACTCGGTCTTGGAAGGGTTGAGCCTGAGTCTGTTCCTCCCCATCCAGACCCTTACGGCCTCCAGGCAACGGGTCATCACGTCTATAGCCTTTCACATGCTGCTGAATTACCTCTCCAAATAGCCTCTGCCATTAGCCATACCTGTTGAGGGTGCTGGGGATTATATCAGTGTTGAAAAACTTCAAGGACAATATCTGCACGGTTGCAATTTACCTTTAATATCACTAAGCGCTGAATATGCCTAGCAACCGATGACAGGTTTACATATTAAACTGACACATTCAGCACATTTATATACTGAGGCTTGCTTGTGGATGTTCCACTTTGGGTATCTTAATGTATTCAGTTCTAAAAGTTAAACAGAAGAGAATGTTTCCTGAGTGCTTGAGCCTAGCTCAGCAGAATTCCCTTTTCATTTTAAATTATTATATTTGCTTCACCGTTTTCTCTATTGGGCTGTTTTTTTAATGATATAAAGTAGGTTTTTTTAATTGGGCAACGTTATAAATGCTACACATACATATATATACATATATGTATGGAAAATCTCTGGAGAAGAGCAAATGGTGGTGTGTTTGGCTGTAAGTTGATTGAGAGAGATTCATTATTATGTGACTTTGATTTCTTTCCTAGTGCTGTGACTTCTGCAAGCAGCTGTTACCTGCTGAGTTTCCGGTAGTGTACGCAGACCGAGCCGGCTACAATCATCAGTGGCATCCATCATGTTTTGTGTGCTCTAAGTGCTCTGAACCACTTGTTGACTTGATCTACTTCTGGAACAATGAAGCCATCTGGTGTGGACGCCATTACTGTGACAGTATAAAGCCACGCTGCGCAGCTTGTGATGAGGTACGGTTACTGTGAAAATGGGTATCCATCGCTTGTCTGCATTGGACCCTATTGTGAGATGGTCTAAACAGCTGCAAGGAGTCAGACATTTATCCAACATCTTTTCTCTCCTTTCCCTTTTAAGCAGGACCCGTATTGATTTGCCAAAAAGGAATTAAAAGTGTGCAGAGTGTTTTTATATATGGTGATCAATGGGATGATCTTTTGCTCATTTCTTCTGGGAAATGTTTGGATTATAAGTGAATTTTCCAGCATGTTTATTTTATACCATGATGTTAAGTGCATGTATTTTGTTTGAACTTAAGCTTAAAAAGGCTAAAACAGATTTCATTTTTACAAGGGGGGCGGGGGTAGAGAGACTCTGCAATCTGCTGCCATTCGGAAGTAAGCTACCCCAGGAGCGGCAGCCAAGTTAGAGGTAGCAAACAGACAACACATTTGCCTTGTATTCCCTGTCTTATCCTATTTCTAAAAGAACTGCTCTAAGCTTCTGGTAGAATTCGCTTACTTTCTCCTCCTCCGTCCCCTTAAAACTAATATGTGGACATAAGCTATTTAGTTTGTATTGATCTTACTAAAGCGACTCCAGGGATAAAAATTTTATTCCTTCCAAATTGGTCCCTTGAGCCTGATATTAAGTACATATACAGTTAAATGTTTTACAGCAATATATTTCCAATAAGAATTCTTGTACCTCTCAGATCTGTCGTCATAAATGTTATTTAGCACATAAATGCATCCTTCAGAAAATGCCCCAGCTGATCTAGCTGAGTTTATAGCTCTTCCATCTCCATGTTTCTTTTTTTAAATAATTTATCAAAACCTAGGCTTGCAAATAAGGCTCGGTTTCTCATTCTTTGAAAATCTCTGAGGAGCCCTGCTTTTCTATAAAGGAATAGCCATCCAGGATCCAAGCTTAATTTTTGCCAGAGCTCACAATCATGGCATCTATTTTCAGAGCCAGAATTATATGAAGTAAACTGGGATATGGGAAATAAGGAAAAAAATAAACAAATTGAACATCTTTCGTATTACTAAATAAATGCTAAATCCCACATGCTAAATTGTAGGGAATATTTTTTTTTAAAAAAAACTAGTTACAAAAAGGTAAATTTGTATCAAATATCCTTTCTGCACCCTATTTCCTCTGCCAGTTGACCCATTGTAGAGTTGAAAGGATCTTGAAAATCAATCTGCTCAGTACAATAAGCAGTCCTTGGCTGTGTTTGTTCCTTGTTGTTTTTTTTCTCACAGCAGCTGATGAAATGGTCCCTTTTTGGACATTCTTGACACCCATGTAGCATATATGCCTGAGACTAGCTGTGGCCTAGCCAATTTTTTACGTGTTAACCATTGCACTGTGTTAGTTAAGAGTTGGGTAACATTTAATGTTAACTATGATCAGAGCGATTTGGCTTTATTCTTATCATGCTGTAAAGCTCATTAACAGCTCCTTTGTAGGTTTCTATAGGAAGAGCAATATACAGCAAACTGAGCTTCCTGAATTATGGTACAGTAGCTACCATTTCAAGAAGGAACTCTGTGTAGTGAGTATGGACTACTGTGAAGAGAAGGAAATAGAATTTGGGAAAGGCATAAAATACATATGAGAATAGGTTAGCAAACATGGTTTTCCTGGAACTTAAATTACTTAAGGAATTCCTGCTTCAGATACATATTGTATAAAGAACACAATATATTTCAGTGAATTCAAAAAGTCTCCTAGCCAAAGGTATTTTTCAAGCATTTGTTTTAAACAATGCTTAGAACTAAATGTAAACTTGTTCTGCAGCTTGGTTGGACCAGAACTCTGCTCTTTATAGGAATGTGTAAATATTTATTTTCTGTGCAAAGCTAAGTAGCATGGGTGCACTCTATTACACTGTTGGCTTGTCAACAGCATTGTGTTTGTATCTCTCTGTGTGTTTTCATAATGAAGACATTCAGGAAAGGAATGATAAATGGACTTGTTTACTTTTACAGATAATATTTTCTGATGACTACCTGCAAACTGAAAGCCTTACCTGGCACAAACAGCATTTCATCTGCCTGGAATGTGAGACCTTGCTGGTTGGCAAACCTTTCATCCTGGATGCAGCCAGCCTGTGGTGTACCTCTTGCAGTAAAAACAAGCTCCCTTAAACTGGGTGTCATTTCAATGCTGATGTTTTTGTGTGTTCTGACTTGGAACGGACTCATTGGTGGGGAGGTTTTAAGCCAAAGAAGTTGCATCCTAAGGATTTAGATCACTAAGTTTATTTGCAATCAAGTAGTTACAGGAAATGAGATGGGAAATGATAATGCAGTAGGAGAAGAATAGAGGAATGGAATGTTCTAGGCCTTTCAGGAAAGACATTAAACATTACAAAAAACTAGGCCCCATTATGTTAAATTATTTCAACTTTGGTATATTACAAAAACAACTACTCCAGGAGGTACACACACACACACACACACACACACACACACACAATTATCATTGTGCTGCTGGGTTTTGCTGCTTTTTTTTGTAACCAAAGGACTATATTTCTAAACTAAATATCACAAAATCATTGCCTACAAATGAGTAGTTTTAGAAATATAGATAGAATGATATAGTGGGAAAATAGAACCACCAATATCTGCAAAAGAAGGATTTCCCTTCTCTGTGTGTTATAATGCATTGCCTCCAAGAAACATGATTACTGTTTGAAAAATAGATTATATAAGAGGTGGTTGACAGTTTAAAGAACCTGAAAGCAGAATAGCTTGTGAAGGATCACTGGAAAAATATAGGCTATAATGGATGATTTTTCTTTTAAAAATGCTATCTAGAAGTAGAATTAAAGCAAAATATATGTTTGATGAGCTTTCTGGATTATACATGTATTCAATGTTTTGATGATTTTTTTTCTGTCCCATCATTTTTTTTTCTCATTGGGGGCAGCAAACGGATGAAAATACTTCACTTTAGTGCATTTAGAAAACTCCTATGTGGAGTGGTCTTTTTGACAACAGCCACATGGCGGGAGTAAAGGCTAATAAATCTCAGCACATTAGTGCTTCATCTCTGGAGGGGTTGGGTACACAACGTTGCTTTCATAGACTAGGAACAAGTAATCACATAAAATCAGCTTAGATATTCTTGACAACTTCTCCCTACCCCATTGTTGAACAGTTGTGGCAATAGGATCAGTTCACACAGGTCACTTTTAAGCACATGAATACCAGCATTGTTTTGTGTAGCCCCTAAAGAAAATTGCTTGAAACCTTCCCAATGGGATTGAATTTTGCTATTGCCACCCCAGCCACCTAATGGTCAACAATGAGAATAGTTGTGTTTGTATTACATCTGGAAGGAGAAGAGAATTTAACATGTATATAGAGATTATTAATATTAAATTCTCAATTGCTGCATCCCATCATAGATTTTGAAATGAGCAGTAAAACTCATTTTTCCTAATATTTGTGATAGGCCTTTTTTGCTTTAACAGTAAGAACTTTTAAGAAAAGAAAATAGTAATGGGCTATGTTTATAGCAAGTGAGTGCATGCAAAAAGATATTGGCTTTCTTGGTAAAAAATACTTTGAAATTCTAAAAGCTAGCCAATTAATTCTACTAGGATTAGCAACAAGTTTATATTGGCTAGATTTGCTGTTTCAACTAATACCAAGGCCCTTTACTATAAATAATGGATACTTCATTAGCAAACAGAAAAAACATTTGTTTGTTAAATAACATTAGATTTGCTCAATTAGTAATGACAATTTATAGAAATCTTTAATGCGATATAAGGCATTAAGACAGAGAACTGGAAAATATCTGTTTGGTTTTAGACACAACATTTATTAACATTTTTGTGTGTTTGAAAGCAAATTAGAACTTAAACCTTTTATGGGAATAAGAGATTTGTCCTATTTGTCCTATACTGTTCACCTAATATAAGCATCTCCAAAAATTTAGTGAAGACACCTCTTGCAGATACAAAACTGTTGTGTCTTTCAACGTACACAGTATATACAACAGAACTCCATGGGCATTTATGAAGTGTGTGTTTCTTTAAGAAAGTGTGTTCAGTTCAGTTATGTAGGCATCTCATACATGTTAACAGAACTGCATCTCAATGTCTCTTAAATCTATATTTGACACTCGGGACAGTAAGTAACTAACATGGGTATTAATTTGGTAGGATCATCTGCAAAAAGCTAACTTTAGTGTATTCCTGCAAATTGGAAGAGAAGGCCTATGAGTGATGGGCATTTGAAAGAAATTCCTGCAGAAGTCTATCCTTAGGTAGAAAAATCTGAATGCTAAATCAGTTAACCAGAAGTAGCTTAAACCAATTTGACCTTCCTTTCCTACAAAAGAGGCAATTGTTCAGGTACATACCATATTTTTTGAGGTGCTGTTTATCATTAATAGTCATTGACTGCTATTAGTGGCTAGCAAAATGATTCTCAAGATACAGGAGAATCTGATTATGATTCTTCTTTATTTCTTCTGTGTTTTACTTTAGGTAATGTCATGTATAATTTAGTTGATATGCAGCTGTTCTACTTCTGATCATTGGTCATGTTGGTGATTTGTGAGAGTGGAGACCACAACAGGTTGCCTTCCTACATCCTATAAGGATCAGCCAGACTATCACTTCCCCTAGTTTTAGTGTTTGTAATTTATCTATTCCAACAGGATGTCTCTGGAAGTACTAAAATTATAGTTCTCCTCATCCCCAACCAGCAAGGTCAATGGGGATAATAGGGGTTAATACTCCAATGCAATTGTAAAATATTACAGTTGAAAAGATTGCTATTAAACTTTATGGAATTTTTTTATCTAATTGTCAGTGGGATGCTGGGAACTGCATAATTATGTGGCTTTTTATTTTGGTGGAATACTAAATGCATTCTGGACTGTGCCTAATAGCTTTTGTATGTTGATGAGATTTAAGTTCTATAATAAATTTTAAGAAGTTTAAGTATTTGTGGCAGGGGAACTTTGCAGCTGTGTGTGTTTAGAGGAATGAGCTTTTCTTCTATCACAGGACAGAAACTACATTTGTGATTAATTTCCAAAGGGAATAGGATTAGTATAATACTAATTGAATTTCTACCTTCCACCCAGCTGTTGGTATCCACTGACTGGCATTCCTCCTTATGCCTATGCAATTTTCTTCCAGTTATGGTTCTCATGGATATGGAAGGTCTATCAATCGAAATACAAAGAATTTGCAAGCCATTGTTTAGGACTGAATGAGAATAAAGAAGCACACGGGGCACACTCATCTGTGTTATGGCCAGCAGATTGCAACGTTCATGCCAAGGAAACTTCATTAAGGTCATCTGCTCATCTTTTTGCATCACTGCAGGTTTTAAAAGTAAATAAATGGCTTTTCTAAAGTGGATTGAGGCAGATCACAAAGGTTGCTCTGGCATCATGTTCTAGGAATTGCACTCCATGGCATTGTGCCTATATGCAAGAGATGTTAAGGTCCATGATGCCAGAAGCAACCTGATTATGCATCTTTGATGTCATTTCAGGTTTGATTCCCTGGGAATCAAATTACTTACAATTACTTTATCAGTAATGGAACATAGGGCGCTCAGCCTTGCTTCCCTACAACCATTTTTTTCTTTCATTGGGAAATGCAAATGGATGAGACTCGGAGTTGGCTTGTTGCTTCTGCATTTACATATGGATATGTGTGTGTGTGTGTGTGTACTTTGTATTGTTTAAAGTATAGAGCTTAATGTATCTAATATTTTTCCCAAATAATTAACTGACAAGCCATGGAAATGTATCTAAATGCTTCAATATAAAGTGTTCAATAAAATATTAAAATGAACGTTGTTTGAAATGTTGCCATTTAATTGATCAACAAACTTTAAGTTATTCCTAAGAAAGCTCCAGTGGATAACTTCTTAATGAGTGAGGTACTTTAAATTCCCCTTTACACTCTGACTTTGCTGTTAGATAACATTGTTACATGCCTTGTTCATACGAGTCACTCACTTTTTTTAATCCACATTCAGTCATCACCTATTCATTCTTGAACCTTGCTATTCATGTTTTACTCCACATACTTAAAACCCTATTCCCATTTCATTTTCAACTTCGCTTTATGTTTCTCCACATGTATCCTTCACTTTCAGGTAACAAACTACAGGAAGTCCTCAACTTACAATCAGGATTTCGATCTGTAAGTGATGCAGTCATCAAGCGAGTCATCCTAACTCAGGCATGTCAAACTCGCGACATCACGTGATATTGTGCGATGTATCATACTTTTTCCCCATTGCCGGTAATGGGGTGGGCGCAGTTTCAGCATGATGCATCAGGACCGCGGGCCGGCAGTTTGACATGCCTGCCCTAACTGGACCTGATTTTATGACCATTTCATGTGGTCACTAAGTGAATCACATTATTGTTAAGTAAATCTGGCTTCCCTGATTGACTTTGCTGGTTGGAAGCTGGCTGGGAAGGTCACCAATTGCAATGATGTGATCACAAAATACTGCAACCATTGAAAATGCAAGTTGGTTGTCAAGCACCCAAACTGTGAACACATGACTGTAGGGGTTGTACTATAGTTGTAAATTTGAGCATGAGTTGTAAGTCATTTTTTCTGAGGCAGTCATAAATGAATCGTTGTCAGTTGAAGACTACCTAGAAGCAGCATGCACATGTATGCATTGTCTCCTCTTTTTAACAAAGATTCCTTCCTCTCACGTGCTACCCATTTTACCAATATTTGCACAATTTAAATTTCTCCATCTATTTTTTTCATATTTAGTAAAATTTATACCAAGGTAAACAAACAATTTATCTAGATGCTCTACTCTTTCACCACTTATATATAGCTTGCAATCATTCATTTCTATGTCACAATCACCTTGATCTGGTAGATTGTTATGATCCATACCCCTCACTGAATCATATGACCTAACACTTCCTGCAAATCATAATGATCTCAGCCATCAGCACATCATCATCTGTCTAAAAAAGGGCATGTACATCCAGTTCCCCAACCAACATACATCCAACATTAACATAAGCATTCCTTACATATTTATTCAAAAATGTTATTCATCAACTCTGAGAATGTGAAAGCAAAATCACACATATCAGTTCCATAATCTGTTGCTGAATTGTATAAATCTGAGTACAAATTACCATATAATGAAGAAGCTAACATGTACTTTACCTTGCTATCTTAAATATCCTCTTATTTTGTAAAATATCATGCTTTGTACCTGAAGAGGGTGAATTCTCTTCCTACCCCTTCTCCCTTTTCCAAGAGCTGCTGGAGAGTTAAAATAACTGAAAAAGTAGCTAAATTCAATTTCACCAACATATTCTCACTCTGTTTGCAGCACATGAAGAGTT